ACTTACTTGTGACCCAGAGCTGCAAACGAGGGGCAACTTTGGGGTGAGGTCCCTACTTTCCCAGCATCCTCTGTGCCAGGGGCCCTTCCTGTGATGGGTATTCGGTACTGTATCTTGGCTGCCTTGGGCCCTGGATACCAATGTGAGGGTGTGAGCTCAAGTGAAGGACGCCTGTCCATCTCATTGTGACCCAAGCTGGAAGAAATGAACCAGGACGATGGGAAGGTTAATCCAGCCCAGGCACTACACTGCCCTCCCTATGGTCAGTGGGAAGTACCACGTAAGGCCTGAGTGTCACCTCCAAATGGACTCCCAGAATACCGCATTCAGCTCACCTATACTCGTGATTAAGAGGTAGTCAACAGGTAAGTCAAAGACTCTTGGTATATTCAGAATATTTGGGCTGGCTTTGTGTATACCTGGCATTCCAAATGGCTTGGGCACCAGTTGTTGAGGCTACTTCCTGGGGGTCAAGTTGATATTGGGAACAAAGGGGTCTTCTTCTCACCCCGGCTTAGGTCCTAACTCAATAGAGCATTTCTAAAGGAGCAAAGCCATGCTGGCAGCACCTTCATAGTCATCATTGCAGTTTATTCTATGAGATGGGCAAGGCAAGAACTGCTGCTCCCAAGGTGCAAGCTGAGAAGATGAAAGCCAAGGTTGCATTGCATCCGAGCGGCAGAGGCAGACTCACGATCCAGTTCTCCCCACACCTTGTCCTGTGCTCATGTAGGAAATGGAAGCAAGAATTCTGCCAAGCAGAAGAATCCCCAGCAATCCGGAAACTCCTTCTGATGTGCAGCTCATGCTCATGGTGGCCCCTTCTCCCATGCCGATGCTGTCTCGTGCACAGGTAGCCCTCCCATTCCCTTCCAAAATGTGCCCCTGTCTCCCAGGTGCTGCTGGATGAAGAGAGAGAAGCTATGGCGAAATCCCGCCGGCTGGAGCGCAGCACAAGTAGCTTCAGTTACTCCTCTTACCACACCCTGGAGGAGGTGAGTCTGCTCATCAAGTTCTGGGCCCTGTTGCCCTTTGGCATCTTTAGACTCAGGAAGAGACTAGTGAAGGACTCAGGGGATTTACAAGAGACTGTTCACTCAGACTTAGAAAGCACAGAGCGGACAGTAGATGGGGTGTCTGTTAGGTAGGTAGTCAACCTTCCCGAGTTCCAGAGCTCAGGATTCAGACAGACTGTAGTTCACACTAGAGTTGTAGAGAAGTATGGGAGTGAGGCTGGTCTCAGGACCAGAGGAAGGGGTCAACAGTAGAACACCGAGGCAGGGACCTGCTACTGGCCAGCTCAGGGTGGACAAACGACTACCTTCATGCCACCTTTCTAGCTAGAGGCCTAGGAGTCCGGACCTCTCCACAATCAGCCCTGGGCTAAGTGGCGCCAGCTGTGGGTTCTTGAGGCCTGAAAGCGCCAGAAGCCACACACATTGGAGAGTCACGTTTGTAGAAAACAGAGTTGACTCTACATGGAGAAAACGCACACTCTTCGTTACAGTCAGCTAGGGCAGGCAGGACTGACCGTGTGACTTATTTACAAAGGAGAATATGCAAGACAGTTTCAGGAATAGTCACTCCAGAGAAAAACTCAAAGTGTACGTCCCATCTCACATGCAAAGGACATGACATTAATGGTCTTGTCATGATCACCATGACTTCACAAGGTCTGCGATAGAGGATTCACTCTCTTTCATGTATCTGCTAATTAAAAGAATAAGAGAATGTGGTCAGTCACTATTTATTGAGGCCAAAGATAGTTAAAACTTGAACCCTGCCTTCAAGAGGCTTAGAATCTAAAAGGGGCAGTGAGACCCAAACCAACACAACCTGGTCTCTGAGATCTGTTGACTAGAATGGGCAGTCCAAGAGAATGGAGTCAAGCGGGGTCCCACAGGCATGCTGGGGATTGGAGTAAGTGCAGGATAGTTTGTTTTCCCAGGCAAAGGCTTAGCTCTGCACAGGGGTGAAAAACCTGGGACTCCAAAAAGGTGACCACTCATCATCTTAGTCCCAGATAATTAAGTCCTGAGTGTTGTATTCTTGGTCTGGGTTCTTTGGTACCCTCAAGGGAGGTGGGAAAGCAATGGGGAGGGAACAATGTGAGGAAAGAGAAGATTCTGAGAAGCGCTGGGGTTCACTCCTCTTCCTGTTTAACCATCAGTGTGATAACCTTCTCTCCTTTCAGATCTATAGCTGGATGGATAGCTTTGTAACAGAGCATTCAGATCTCGTCTCCAAAATCCAGATTGGCCTCAGCTTTGAAAACCGGTCCATTCTTGTCCTAAAGGTAAAAACACAGTGCGAACCAGCAGACTTGCAGTGTGAGCCTCCAGTGGAAGACTAAATTCATGGAATAATGGGTGGGTGGGTAGGTGGGGCGGGATTTGAGGAAAGGGAGGATTGTGAGCCCTTGTCCTGAGGTGACCCATAGGCTTTGGAACGTGGCGTGCAGGGATCCACCCACCCTTGTAGGTGTGGACAGAGACCTGGCATATCCTTGGTCAGGAAGTAGGTGGGAGGGTTGCTAAGAGGGAGCTGCAGATGGCAGCTGTCACCCTGAATGTGGGTTGTGAGTATGGGTGAGTCAGCCTTCTTCCTGTTGCCTCAGTTGCTTCATCTGCTAAATGGGAAGAAAGATACTTGGCAGCCCCGTGACTCCAAATGACCGAGATCATCTGTTTCAGGCAGCCCCACTGACAGGGAATCTGCGCGGGTCTTTCTAGGGATCACTGGAAGCAGAGTTTGAGCAAACTTCAGTCCTACAGTGCCCTTGACCATGAGGAGGCAGGACAGGAATGTGTGGGGCCCATGTAACCATCACCTGAAACTGACTCTCAGCATGTGCACTGAAGGGCACTCAGGGCTATGAACACGCTGGCATTTGACACCAACTTCTAAAACAGTTGGGCCTTGCTGTCTTCAGGGATGCCTTGGGGATGCTTCCCAATGGCCAAGTGGTCTCAATCCATCTGGAGACTTGACTCTCTTGTCCCTACTACCCTTTCTCCCGGAGACCATCCATCTCTCAAAGGTCTGACTACTCAAAGTGTGGTCCATGGACAGCATCATCAGTATCATCTGGAAGCTGGTTAGGAACATGGAGCCTCAGTGACTTCACTAAGGACATATGCGGGGGGGGGGGGGGGGGGGGGGGAGGGCACCAGGTGACACTGTCCAAGGGGGTGACACCAAAAGAGCTGTCGATAATATTTTTGTGCAGTTTCAACAGAAATGTATTATTTTTTATAAAAATTTCCCAGTAGTTAATTATACCAGCAGAAATGTTCTCTATAAGCTTACATGTAGCAATACACCTAAAAGGCTGAAATGCAGTGCTAATTTACCTTTTGATGCTTATAATTGTCTCTGGTCAGAGCTGCCATTATTATCCAATGACAGCCTGCATACACCATAAGCACACACACACACACACAGTTGCTTTTCGTGCTAGTGGTGTGGGTTGTTTTTTTTAATAGTCTCTGACTTTGTCCTTTTTTTGAGAATGAAGTACTAATTAAAGGAAAAGGAGACAGGCAAAAAAGGCTTCTGTTCAGTTCCGAATAATATACTAATTATGTATTTCAGTCTACAAAGACTTTATACAAAACGCTTTTGTTGTTAGTATTCATATAATCTAAAAAAGATGGCATTTATGCAATTTACAACTCGTTATTACATAATATTCTAGGATTAAAATGGATAGGAACATTACTAATTAAGCTGTATAGTCTGGTATGGGAGGAGGTCCATGGGGTGGTGGGGGGCACACCATGAGTTATCTCGCTGGGTGGTGCGGAGTCTCAGGCTCCTCTCCAGATCGCCTGCATTTTAGTAAGACCCCGGTGACTCCTGTGCACCTGATGTCTGAGAAGTATTCATCTAAGACATTTTCCAACCTGGCAGATACTGTACTTCCGGCTGGGTCACTTTCCAAGAGCACTGCTATCTCACCAGGCCACCCAGGTTTGCATCTTGTATGATACAGGCAGGAACCTGCACATACACACACCCTTTCTTGGCAAAGCCCGCCGGGCTTGTGGAGATGTCCAGTCAGGGAGGATGCATCTAGAGCCTCCTTCTAGGGACCATCTCAGTAACCTACCATTTGGCGGCTGGTTCTTTTTCCCAGTTTAGCACTGGAGGTTCTCAACGCCCAGCCATCTGGATCGACACTGGGATTCACTCGCGGGAGTGGATTACCCATGCCACAGGCATCTGGATTGCCAAGAAGGTCAGCAGGAACCTGGAACTGAGGGGCCACTGTGATGGGGCTGGAAACAGGGTGGGGGGAGATGCTGCTCAACTTCTTAAGGGCACCTACCTCCCCTTGAAAATGATACTTGCGACCTCCCAGTCTGGTGGCATGCTCTATCTCTCCCTGTTCTTTGGATCACTGTCCATGGGCTCTCACTGCCACCACCCATGCGATGCTAGAAATCCAAGTCTTTGGTTCTGCAGAAGGATGACGTTGGTGGCTTGGCAACACCCCTTCCTGAAGCCACTGGCTGTGTAGATGTCTCTGAGGAGACAGCAGGACCTCCACCCCCTCACCCTGCATTCAACCCTCCTTTCCTGCAGATCGTTAATAATTACGGCAAAGACGACGTCTTGACAAACATACTGAATGCCATGGACATCTTCATGGAGATTGTCACCAACCCTGATGGGTTTGCTTTCACCCACAGCATGGTGAGGGCACTGAGGGAGAGGCAGCCTCCAGGGAGGGAGGACAGGCCACTGAGGCCAGGTCCCTGAGGGCTGGCCCTTTGGGGGCTCTTTGTTGAAAGTTTCCCTGAGGGCCAGGAAGACAGCTCAGGGCTGTGGTTTCTTGCCCACTGACCTCGTTCCTGCTGTCCAGGGAAGCCAGTATGTCAGCCTCAGCTCAGTCCTCCCCAACTTGACCCCAAAGGCTCTGTATAGCCTTGGCCCAGTCCCCACCTAGAGCTTGTCATCCTGTCTTAGCACTTCCTGTTCCATCAGGTCCCTCTAGAGGCTAGGACACCTGGAGTGGGCCCAGTTAATGAGGACTTCTGACCTGGTTCTTTCTCAGAACCGCTTGTGGCGGAAAAACAAGTCCACCAGACCCGGAGTCTTCTGCATTGGCGTGGATCTCAACAGGAACTGGAAGACGGGGTTTGGAGGTATGACAACCTGCTGGCCCAGGAGGCAGGGCTGTCGAGGGAACTGGCAGGTTTTCTCACACGGTTCATTGATTCCTAACTTGGGAGGCACAGGGGTGGAGCAGTGAGCTAAAATGAGTGAATAAAGGCCGGGGATAGGCCAACCTGAGGTTAGGGGTGGGTGTGGCACGTGGGGAGAGGTTGCACATGCGTGTTCAGTGTGTGCGTATGCTAGACCTTCACATAAAACCCATATGGGGGAGTCTCTAGCTCCTAAAATGGAGACTAAATACAAGGATCAAATCTCAACTGTGCAGAGAAAGCTTTAAAGAGCTACAAGGTAGTCTTGCTAGCTGACCAATGGCCAAAGTCTATGGTGTCCCTGCATGTCCCTTACCTTTCCTCTCAGGGAGCTAGAAAAGGCCTCTGGACTCATTCCCAGATAGCTGGGACCTTTATGGAGCCAGAGAAATGGTTCAAATATAGAGGAGTCACTTCCTTATCATCAAGGCTGACTTGCTAATGGTTTTGGCCCGGTAACTTTGTAATCCTGGGCTAGTGGGTTGGTGCATATCTGTACGGTTGAGGACACCATTATCCTGGGTTTTGTATGACCTTCACTATATCAAGGACACCAGGATGAGATGGGGATACTGAGGTCTCCCCAGTAAGCTGAGTCAGAAACATAGGCCTCAGGAATATAGCAGTTTGATGGATGGAATGCTCTGTCTACCCACGACAGAGGCTTTGGAGATAAAGGTCACACAGACACAGCCCTTATCCCCTAAGAATGGTGTCCACAGTACACTGGGGAGTTGGGGTTTAGCTCCAAGTGGGCAGTGCCAATGCTGTTGAAAATCAGATCTACAGCCTGGGGGTCCAACCAAGGAGAGAGCTCATTCAAGATCTGAATGTCCATTACTTTGACTCTTTGCCTTATCTGGCTCTGTTCTCATTGAACAATAAGATGACTCGACTCAGAACTACCCATAGTGAGACCCCTAGTTCACAATGTGGAGGTTGTCCGAGGGGCTGGGGCTGAACTTGCATAAGGCAATATGACGATGAAAAATAGCTTTTTTCACTTCCAGATGACCTGATAGTTGTAGTAGGTGGGTGTCCGTGTGAACCCCAGAGCTGACTAAAGTGAGTGCCCAGGTACCCTGAGGTAGACTGTCTAGTAGAAAGACAAATGAACTCTTTAAAGAAAATAACTTTTGTGGGCTTCTGCATAGAAAACAGTATCAGTATATGCATTTGAGTTATGGTGTTGGAGGAGAATATTAAAAGTACCATGGACTGCCAAGAGAACAAACCAATCTGTGCTGGAAAAAATATAGCCAGAGTGCTCCTTAGAAGCCAGGATGGCCAGACTTTGTCTCTCTTACTTCATATTATCAGGAGGGACCAGTCCCTGGAGAAAGATATCATATTTGGTAGAGTAGAGTGTTGGAGAAAAAGAAGACCCCCCAACAAGATGGATTGGCACAGTGGCAGCAGCAATGGGCTCAGGCGTAGCAATGAGTGTGAAGTGGGCACAGGACCGGGCAGTGTTTGGTTCTGTTGTTCATAGGATCGCTCTGAGTCGGTACTGACCCGATGGCACCTAACAACAACAAACAACAACAATGCCTACTGTGAAGAAAGAAAGAAGGAATCCCAGAAGAGCTCCTTGCATCCCACTACCCAAAGATTACAGCTCTTAATAATTTACCATGTCCTCCCAAAGATTTCCCCTTGCTCCAAATTACATTTTTAGAATAGGGAAAATAAATAGCAAATGAATCCATTAGCAGGTACTTGTGAAACAGGCAGGCTCTGAGGACCTTGACTGGGAGAGGCAGAGGAGGGGGCAGCTAATTCCCATTTGGTCGTGGGAAGATTCGTTTATTCTGCTCAGCTCAAACCAGAACTAATGGCCTGAAGTGATTCTCCATATTTGGGCAAAGCCACCTGGCCGTTGGCAGGGGAACCGCTCACCAAGCGTGGGCTGCAAATGCACACAAAGCTTTCAGCCTCCCCGCCCGCCTGGTTCATCTGCTGCTATTTGTCATTCATGAAGTGTGGCAGGTGTGGGGCTCCCGGCAGACACAACAAACAGGGTCGCTGCAAGCTGGGCCCACTCCAGCCCGTGGGTCTGCTCCTTAGCCCCTTGCTCCTTGCAGGCACAGCAACCAAAGAGAGGGTACACTCCCCAATGACAGAGCTGGTGACTCAGGCAGGAAGATTTTGTTTATGGCTTTATTATTGCCTCAATTTAATTGCTGTGTAATGAGGAATCTATGGGCCATCCCTCCCACTTAAGGGTGACTTCAACTGCACTCTTGCGGAGGACCAACTGCTCTTGCATCCTCACCATGATTCTGGACTCTGGGTGATCCCTGGCCTCTGGGCCGGCTTGAGTGCTGTTGTTTCAGGAGGAACAGGAGGAGAAACTGGAATGACACTTCCCAAAGATGCCTCTAACCCACAAACCTAGATCAGCATAGCCCATCCCAGCCCTCCAGGACAGGGCCTTTGGGCAGGGAGGAAAGCCAAGAGGAGGAAAAGAAGATAGAGATTGGGGATAAAGGAGCCCAGGAGGAGATTAGAACAAATGAAATTTGTGAGGAAAGTAGACAAATAGACTCAACTCAGACCTGCAAGAAGAATTTTCAAAGATTCCTTGACATGGGTGGGGCCCAGCCCAGGGATTTGTCCTCTCATTGCCTGATTCACTAAGTTCATGGAGCTCCTGGGAACACCACTGGGGTGACCAAGCTTAAGCAGACCCGGAGTCAGAACTCTCAGCTGACAGTGAACTGAGAGCCCCGGGCAGTGCATAGCCAGCCCCAAAGGGTCCCTGCTCAGCAGGAGAATTGGGGTTGGGTTAGGGAGACCCGTTTCTCCCCCCCCCCCCCCCCCCCCCCCCCCCCCCCCCCCCCCCCCCCCCCCCCCCCCCCCCCCCCCCCCCCCCCCCCCCCCCCCCCCCCCCCCCATGCAATTTCTGACACAGATCTTCCATTCTAATTAATGGAACCATAACCAGGATTTAACCAAAGGAGAAGCTGAGGGAGTTCTGGGCAGGCTGAGGAGTTGCTGAGTCAGGGTGTGGTCATACTCCTCTGTTGTGTCAGACTAGGGGATTCTTCAACAACAATACCAACAACAACAAAAGGTTACCCGAAGTCAATTCCAACTCTTGGCAACTCCATGTGCGTCAGCGTAAAACTGTGCTCCAGAGGGTTTCAGTGGCTGATGTTTCAAAAGTACATCACTAGGCCTTTTCTTTCCCAGTGTTCTGGGTAGGCTTGAACCTCTAAACTTTTGGCAACAGTTGAGCATGTGAACTCTTTGTACTACTAAGGTACTCCTGCAATAAGTAACAAGCACCCTCCAGACTTTGGCTGAACCCAATCAAAGTTCCTTTTTCATGCACATAAGGCCCAGTGTGAGTGGGTGGCTGTCCTTAGCTTAGCAGCACTCTTTCAGCAATGACAGAAATATCAAGAATACTGCCGTTCTTGAACTTGTCCACCTAGAGTTCATTGCTAATCTAGCCATGCAGACAGAAGAGAATATTGAGAACGACTGTGGCTGCCAATTGAAAGTTTGGAGGTTCAGGTCCATCCAGAGGCACGTTAGAAGTAAGGCCTGGATGAATTGGTGGTGGTGGTGGTGACTCTGGGCAGCTATTTCTTCCCAACAATTAGTCACTGAAAGTCCTGAGGAAAACAGTTCTACTCTGATGTGCTGGGGGTCGCCATGAGTCGGAATCAACTCCAGGGCAACTGGTTTGTTTTTTCTTAACAGCTTCTGGCCAGAAGTGACCAGTCATTTCTACTCCTATTCTCATTGGTCAGAACTAGTCACATGACCTCAACCAGACTGCAAGCGAGGCTGGGAAATGTAGGGGACACACATTGCTATTTTGTGAGCACTGTTTCTACTGCACCTGGGAATTCTAACTTTTTTTTTGGGGGGGGGGGTTCTTGTTCACTTCCAGGAAATGGTTCTAATCAAAACCCCTGCTCAGAGACTTACCGCGGACCCTTTCCTCAGTCAGAGCCTGAGGTGGCAGCCATTGTGGAGTTCATCACAGCGCACGGGAAGATCAAGGCCCTGATGTCCATACACAGCTACTCCCAGATGCTCATGTACCCTTATGGCTACACACTGGAGCCTGTTTCCAACCAGAAGGAACTGGTGAGATGGGCTGCTCAGGGTTTGGGGAAGGAGAAAGGAGGCCCCTCCCCGGGAAAATCCACATCTGGCAAAGAGTTCAGGATTATTATGAAAACAAGGCCTGGACCAATAGAGCCCAGGGGAATGCCTGGGTGGTACAAATGGTTAAGCACTCCACTACTAGCTGAAAGGTTGGCAGTTCAAACCCTCTGAGAGGCATATTAGAAGTTGGGCTGACAATCTGCTATGGAAAGACCACAGTCACGAAAACTCTGCAGAACACCTCTACTCTGGATACATGGGTCTCCATGAGTCAGTCAACTTAACAGCAACTGGTTAGCTAGACCATGAGAGATCCAAGAAAAGAACGCTTCTCTGAAGTAGACTCCAGGCCGGGGTGGAAGGAAGGGCTCACTGTGCTCAGGTGTGGTCACATATGGGCAAGTTCAACACCAGAGATGCCCTGCTCCCTTCTCATGAGAGCTACATGTGAACTGACGTATGGAACTCATAAGTTCACGCCTTTCACCTAGGCTGGGAGCTGATTGGGCCCCAGCCTCTGACCACCTGAATGTAACCTTGCAGTACCATCTGGCCAAGGAGGCAGTGAAGGCCCTCTATGAGGTCCATGGGGTCGAATACATCTACGGCAGCATCAGTACCACCCTCTGTGAGTGAGCCTTCCCTGGTGTTGCTTCAGGCCCCTCACCCTCCTGGTTCAGGCAGAGCAGGCTTCTCTGCCCATCAAGTTGGGCTGGGTCCAATCAGACTCCCACACCTTAGTGCCTGGGTGACTTGGGGGTGGGGGGTGGGGTCAGGGGGGCTAGAGACTCTGGGCGGTTTCTTTGTAGCTTTAGTGCTGAGCTCCTAACAACCGCCTCACTGCTAAGTTCCTTGAGGGAAAAGATCACAAATCTGATGTCCTCAGGGTTGGCGAATGGACTATGTGGATGGGGCCCAGGATTTGGAGGGTAGGTGGGCCTGGACCAGGAAACTTGGTGGCTTGAGGTTAGGTGAAGGTTTGCTCCCAGGCCCCACTGTTCACTCAGATGCCTCTGTTTCCTGCATTCATGGCCTGTTGTTTTCCGGGTATTTCTGGGTCGGCGGGTCTCCAGATGTGGCCAGTGGGATCACCGTTGACTGGGCCTATGACAGAGGAATCAAGTACGCCTTCAGCTTTGAGCTCCGGGATACGGGACGCTACGGCTTCCTGCTGCCAGCCTCACAGATTGTCCCCACCGCTCAAGAGACGTGGATGGCCATCCGTACCATCATGGAGCACATCCAGAAGCACCCTTACTAGGCCGGGGGCTGAGTGGGCCCTGGGGCTGGAGCTCCTCCTGAAACCCACGGGAGGCACACACACCCACCCCCCACTCCACACCTGGAAAATAAAAGCGAATTTGAACAGACTTCTCTGCCGCTGTACTGGCTGCCACCCTTCAGGTTCCCGCTTGGGGATGGGGATGGAGGTTGTTGCCTTGTTGCCGCTGAGTTGATTCCAACTCCCAGCAACCCCGTAGGACAGAGTTGAAGTGTTACATGGAGTTTCAGAGGCTGCCATCTTTAAGCAAGTCGACTGTCGACTTCTGGTTAGCAGCAAAGCTAATCAGACTCCTTCAGACATAGCAAACCCACCCTCCAAAACCACTGTTGTCCAGTGAATTCCAAATCATAGTGATCCTCTAGGACACAGTAGAGTTGCCCCATAGAGTTTCCAAGGCTGTGAATAAATCTTTACAGAAGCAGACTGCCAAATCACCTGCAGATCAGCTAGTGAGTTAGAACCACTAACTTTTCAAGTAGTAGCTGAGAACTTTCACCACTATGTCTTCAAAGTTCCTGAAGGTGGGGTGGGAGCAGCTCGAAATGTTGGGGTGGTCTTGACACCCCCAGGCCTGCCTTTAGGAGATCCAGGGGTTCCCTGGCCTTTCGTTCTCCTCTTGCAGTGTTCTGAGCCCAGATAAACAGCCCCCTGACAGGACACACTGTCTACCAAGACACACTCTACCACTGGGCTATTGACATTGCAGGGTGACACTGAGGGGACAGTGTTCAGTCCAGTGGGGGAGAAGTGGACTCACACAGGCAGTGCCACTTCTCCTGCTTCCTCCCCCAGGCCGAGCAGGGAGCAGGGCCACTACAGAACCCCACTCCCCACTCCAGAGATAAAATAGACAAGTCACAGGATTTTGACCCATTGGGTGGCCGCCCAGGCCCCCTTGGTCTTGGAGCATAGTCGCAGCCAGATCAAGTCAGGATGGCAAAGTCTCACATCCGGAGAGAAGATGGTGATCTTCTTCGTCCCATCATCACAGCTGTCTTTACGGAACAAGGACTCTAGACCAGGCACGTGTTAGGCAAGAACTTGATCTAAGAGAGCTGCTGAGAGGTGCTGTAAACTGGCACCAATTGATTGTAACCCCAGGTACAACAGAACGAAGCATTGCCTGGTCCTGCCCACCTTCAGGTTGGCATGTTCATTGTTACGGTCAGTGTGTGTTATGAGGTTTTCCACCTATGAGGTTCATCTTTCAGTTCCATATGGGAAGATGTTCTATTGCAATCCATAGTCTTTTCTTTCTTTTAAAAAATAAATGTCTTTATTTTGTTGTGGTTAAGATTATATACAGCAAAACATACACCAATTCAATTTTTACATATGCAGCTCAATAACATTGATGACATTCTTTGAGCTGTGTAACTATTCTCACCTTCCTTTATAGGGTTTTCATTGGCTAATTTTTGGAAGTAGTTCACTCAGGCCTTTCTTCCTAGTCTGTCTTAGTGTGAACACTCCACTGAAGCCTGTTCACCATGGATGACCCTGCTGGTATTTGAAATACTGGTGGCATACATTCCAGCATTAGAGCGAAATGCAACCAGTATGACAACCACTGGCAGTGGTGGTTGTGTGCTATCGAGTCAATTACAACTCATAGTGGCCCTGTACAGGGTTTTGGAGGAGCAGCTGCTGAGTTTGAACTGTTAACCTTGAGGTCGAGTGCTTATCCTACGGCACCACACAGGCTCCATGACAACCGAGCAGTGGCTAAAAGAGAGAACTGTTGTTGCTGTTGTTAAGGGCTGTTGAGTTGATTCTGAATTATAGTGACCCTGTGTAGGGTTTCCAAGTGGGTACTGGTGGGTTTGAACCACCAACCTTCTGGTTAGCAGTCTAGTGCTTATCCTACAGCATCACACCAGGACTCCAAGAGAAATCTATGGGGGTTATATTGTGAGATGCCCGCCTCAGCCCCAAGCTTCCTGTACACATTGCTTTCCCCACCATTAGGGATCAGGGTAGTGTCTGGTTCCCCTGCCCCCTGTGAAAGGCAGGGGCACCCACAAGCAGGAAGTCAACTGAGGTACTGAATGAGCTTGTGCAAGTCTCAGTTAGATTCACTCGTCTTGAGAGTCAGGCTTTGTTGAGAGAGAGAATAGGATCATAGATATGGAGGACACAGGATTCTCCTACAGATAACAGGCAGGGCAGAAAGCAGGGTGACATGCTACCAGAACCCCCTTTGCACCCCCACTTGGTAAAAGTTGGACCAGTTGATAAAAGGAAAGGATCAGCAGTGATCAAAACCAGGTAAAGCCCATATTAAATATGGCGCCCGAGCAGCCTGATGATGACAGCCAGTCACGTGGGCTGGGAAGACCTAAGTGGTACATCTATCAAGAGAGCTGAGCAAAGAACAAGAGGGTGAACTGGCGAGGAGGCTAGGGGAGAGGCCAGAAGGTCAAGTCCAGGCCAAGCAACCAGTAGCCACAGCAGCAGCACGGGCACTGACTGACTGGGGACACCAGTGCCAAGGACCAGCCATGCTGTGTGAAAACACCAAGAAAGTTGGGATCATCAGCCTTGAAGAACCTGGTCTTCTTCAAGGGGGTGAGCCAGCCCAGGAGGAAGAGAGATTCCCAAGTCTGGCTGAGCAGAGTTTCCAATCATGGCTTTTTTTTTTTTTTTGAGACTAAGTTTTTAAAAATTGGATATGGTCTGAGTTAGCAGTAGAATTTCCAAGTTGAAGCTTTGTGCTGCTAGCAGAAATAAGAGGTCATGGACTAAGTTAGTATAAGCTATGGATAAATAAAGCAAGTTATACCTTTGTACATTGGAATCTGTGATGGTAACTTTTATGGCCCCTACACAAATATTTTTATTTAATCCTCATGAGGAGGGTATTATTGGTATTAAGTAGCTCATTTTTCAGATAAGGAGGCAAGCTTTGGGGAGCTTTTCAAGGCCACACAGATAGAAAATTATTCATGGAGATATGAACTTGGGTTGACCTAACTCCAAAGCCACTATGTCCCCATTTGTCTGAGGGTAGACATGTCCACCTTCAGCAGAATCACATGAGGAGTTGTGTAACATGAAGATACTTCCTACACCCAGACTGAAACACAGTTTCTGGAGGTGGACCCCAAAACTCTGCATTTTTACCATCTGCACACGAGTTCTGGGGCATCTTAGAGTTTGAGAGTCTCTGAGCCTGCTCTCTTGCCTTGGAATTTTCTGAGAAACGCTGGGCTTTTGGTCTTCCCCTTTACCACTGTCCATTAGACTAGAGGTGGTCACCACCCTGAGACGCCAGTCATCACTTTCCAAAACATTTCTGAGGGGCTATACCAGCCATAGCCTGAAAGAAGCATGGTTTCCAGTCCACAGGTGTCAGCAGCCCCTGGGAGCTTCTTTGAAGAGCAAATTCTCAGACCATCCCAGACCTACTGAACTGGCATCTCCTGGGGTGGGTGGGACCAGGGAATTCCAGTGCCAAGTTTGTGAAGTATTGGCCTAGAGGCAGCAGTCTGTGAACTCTGATAAGCTGGCCAGTAACAACAAAAATAATAAACTTTTTTATAACACTTGCTATGTGCCATGTACTGCTCCAAAGGCCTTACATAATTCAACACCCAGCCTCTCCCAGCTATCAGACACAGGTACCATGGCCACCTGTATTTTCAGATGAGGAAGCTCACCTTCAAGGAAGATAGAAGCTAAGGAGCAACGAGCTATTGAAGCACAGGGCTGGATTGGCTTTTGAGCCACCTGCCTCTAGGAGTAGAATCCATCATTGAGGTCCCTCAGACCAGGCGGAGGGACTTGTTCTCACAACCAAGTGGGTATGACATCTGTGCAGCCAACAAGCCCACAAAGGCAGACTGGAAGTGCTTTCCAAATGAGGTCTTTAAATATATATATATACAGCAAAACATACACTAATTCAATAATTTCTACATGTACAATTCAGTGACATTGATTATGTTCTTCATGTTGTACAACAACTCTCATCTTCCTTTTTCAGACTGTTCATTAACCAAAACCTACTACACCTTAAGGAGCTCTGGTAGCATAGTGGTTATGAATTGGGCTGTGAACCACAAGGTCAGTAGTTCGAAACTACCAGCTGTTCCGTGGGAGAAAGATGAGGCTTTCTGCTCCTGTAAAGATTTACAGCCTCGGAAACCCTGTATAGGGTTGCTATGAGTCGGAACCAACTCCATGGCACATAACAACAACAACTACACCCTAAAGGAGCTCTCTCTGGTAGCATAGTGGTTACAAATCGGGCTGCGAACCACAAGGTCAGCAGTTCGAAACTACCAGCTTGTTCTGCGGGAGAAAGATGAGGCTTTCTGCTCCCATAAAGATTTACAGCCTCGGAAACCCTGTATAGGGTCACTATGAGACGGAACCGACTCCGTGGCACATAACCACCACCACTATGCCCTGGTTTTCTATCTAATCTTTGAGTTGCTGCTGTCGATTTGGTCCCATAAAGTCTTTCAAAGAGCATACTTCTCAAGGTAGATATCCTTTACGATTTAAGCTAAAGGGTCGCTATGCATCAGAATGGATTCGACAGCATTGAGTTTAGTTTCATGTTGGGGTTTTTGTTGTTGTTGGAATTTTACTTACTTTGACTCTTTGCAAACTCATTGATTTGTTTTACAAATTTGATAAGTACAGACCATTTTTAAACTTTTATTGTGAGTTGAGTGAAGGTTTCCAGACAAGATTACTAGTTTTACATCCAACAAAGCATAGACTTTGTTTCAGCTGTATGATTTCAGTCCCCTCCATGGAACAACAGTCATCCTGCTTCCTCCTGGTGGCCCCCATCTCCTTTCCACCATCTTCCCATCCCTGCTCATCCTTAGGTCCATGTTGCCCCTTTGATTTTGAATGATTGGCCATTCCGTCATTCATAGTGAGCATAGCTGACTAATACTGTTATCCCCCTGATACACCTATCGACTGCTTGACTGAAAATGGGACCAGGAGGGTGAGTTCCT